GATGGTCCGTGTGGACTCGTCGTCACGCGACGGAAGCGCTGCGGCAAGTCGTGTCGTTGGCGGGTCTGCCGTCGTCAGAGTACGCGTTGCATTCCCTTCGGATTGGGGGCGCCACGTACTTGGCAGCGGGGGGAGCGTCGCCAGAAGTTTTGAGACGATAGGGGAGATGGACTGGGGAAACGGGGTATCGGCCGTACATAAGGAACCATGGGAAAGATGCAGAGTGGGTTTCTAGTACCTTGGCGTCGGAGGGTGATGCAGTGAGGCAACCGGGATAGGGTACAGAATGGGGTGACGTAGTCCCAGAGGCTGGTGAGGGCGAGCCGGAAAGGAGGGGGTGGAGTGTGTGGGATGAGGGTAAATTGGTCGGTATTATAGTGGGAACCACGGTAGGGGGGGAGAGAGAGTACAGAGGATCAGTATGGTAAACCAGTCCGCGGTTAGGTTGGGGGCAGGCATGACATCGAGAGTATGCCTGATGGTGCGGTGACTGGTTTATACTGATGGTGGTGTGGACGGGGATAGGTGGAGATCCCCGAGTTCCACTCTTCTCTCCCCCCCGTGTTCAAGCGTGGGGGGGGTACGACCAATTAATGCAATTTCGAAAGCAACGAACAAAGCAGAAGATTGCAGAGACNTAGACAGAGGAGTTGAAATCTGAGTTTTGCGAGGAGCGGAAGGTGAAATATCTGTTGGCCAATCAGAGAGCAGCAGCATGGAGTCAGCGTGAAGTGTCTGAACCTGACTAGAAGTGTAGACTTGGGGGCACTTCTTGGTCTGCCCCAAGGAAGCACGAGAGAGGCTGCTGCAGCCAAGAGGTATTTCGGAGGAGATCTATTTCTTTCCCACCCACCCACCCCTTTTGCTGTTGGGGGTGTCAGTGGTAGGGCGAGGACGGATCGCCAGTAGTGGTGAACGAGGAAGGTCTGGTCGTTTGCCGATACTGCTGATGGGGCGAGGGTCTCTTGGGTAGAGGGTCCTTGCCCGGGTGTGTCTGTCGCGTTAGAGATGGTTGCGGTACTCTCAGTGCGGGTGAGAGCGCCTAAGTTGCTGTGCCACGGANTTTGCTGTTGGGGGTGTCAGTGGTAGGGCGAGGACGGATCGCCAGTAGTGGTGAACGNGACTAGAAGTGTAGACTTGGGGGCACTTCTTGGTCTGCCCCAAGGAAGCACGAGAGAGGCTGCTGCAGCCAAGAGGTATTTCGGAGGAGATCTATTTCTTTCCCACCCACCCACCCCTTTTGCTGTTGGGGGTGTCAGTGGTAGGGCGAGGACGGATCGCCAGTAGTGGTGAACGAGGAAGGTCTGGTCGTTTGCCGATACTGCTGATGGGGCGAGGGTCTCTTGGGTAGAGGGTCCTTGCCCGGGTGTGTCTGTCGCGTTAGAGATGGTTGCGGTACTCTCAGTGCGGGTGAGAGCGCCTAAGTTGCTGTGCCACGGAAGGAGGCGAGGGCACAGTAGTGACCGGATGTGAGATTGTGGTCGACAGGTTCGGCTGTAGCTGTGGGCTGGCGGTCGGGGAGCGGGTGCGAACCCAACGTGGGGGTTCGTGCGGTACCGCGTGTGTGCGACCGGATGAGCTTGACGAGGTAGCGCGACTAGACATTTGCATGCAGTGGTGTATTTCACGGTACATCACAATCGATGTGGTATATATGCGGTATATTGAGGTTGGTATATCGGAACATGCGTGCAATTTGGAGAGAAGAGAGTGTGTGGAGCACACGACATCCCGGGGGAGTGGATGCGCAGTTTGAAGTTGTTGCTATCAACTGGCGCTGAGTGAGAGGGGGATGAGTGCTGTGCTAGGAGTATTTCCAGTGCAACCAGTGCAATGTTCACATACTTGCATGTATGTACAACATGTATGAGGCTTTCAGGTGCCGGGCAATTTTTGTTTCTGAATTTTCATTTCCTTTCCGTGGAAATGTAGGTCGTGCGGCATTATCTTTGCATATGTGGACTATGTTTCGGAGAATACGTTGTATGCATGGATATCTAAGTCTGTGGGGGGCAGGCATGACATCGAGAGTATGCCTGATGGTGCGGTGACTGGTTTATACTGATGGTGGTGTGGACGGGGATAGGTTGAGATCCCCCCCCTGTTCAAGCGTGGGGGGTACGACCAATTAATGAAATTTCGAAAGCAACGAACAAAGCCCTCTTTGGAGTTCGAGGGGTCCCCGCACATGCAACCATTTCAAGGTGTACATATGCCCCATCTGCGTGACCTCTGTTGTTGCCGGTAGATCTAACCAGTCCGTATCCAAACACACGAACACCCTCCCCGGTTTGCACGCGAATGGCAAACCTAACGTGGGGCATGGATACCCCTGGTCTACCAGAGGGACTCAAAACATCAACAGGCTCCAGGGAAAACCCGGCCAACCGGATCAAAATTCCTCGTCTAACACCCTAAAAATAAAAAGCCGTCGCTATCACGGAGGATTCCAACGGCCGCACTTCCAAGACAAGACCAAGGCAGGACAGGTTGAACCGGTCACGCTGATTACACACCCGAAGCAACGCTCTCGACGTTTCTAGGCTCCAGACGCGGGTGACGCGCCGGCACAATGCTTCCTGCGTGACGTACCATGGTCATATATGCCAAGTGCGGAAGACACCACATTAATCAAACAGAACAAGAGAACACTACATCGGTAGGTTCATCAGAGCCTTCCGGTGGTACTGTAACTTTTCTCTGCCAAGGACCTTGGTCAGCATGTCGGCGTGCTGCTCTCCAGTCGGAACATACTCTGCGGTTATCTTGCCCGACGTGAATAGCTCGCGAATAAAATGGAACCGCACGTCGATGTGCTTGCTCCTCGCTGAGCTGAACGGGTTCTCCACTAAGGCGACAGCCCCCTTGTTGTCCTCAAGGACCTTGATCTTCGCCCCACTCGTCTCGGGCGNGTAACTTTTCTCTGCCAAGGACCTTGGTCAGCATGTCGGCGTGCTGCTCTCCAGTCGGAACATACTCTGCAGTGATCTTGCCCGACTTGAATAGCTCGAGAATNCCAAGGACCTTGGTCAGCATGTCGGCGTGCTGCTCTCCAGTCGGAACATACTCTGCGGTTATCTTGCCCGACGTGAATAGCTCGCGAATAAAATGGAACCGCACGTCGATGTGCTTGCTCCTCGCTGAGCTGAACGGGTTCTCCACTAAGGCGACAGCCCCCTTGTTGTCCTCAAGGACCTTGATCTTCGCCCCACTCGTCTCGGGCGCTATGAACGACAGAACGCCACGCATACACAACACCTCCTTCACGCCCTCCCCAGCTGCCATATACTCTGCTTCCGAGGTCGACTGAGCCGTTACTGGCTGCGTCTTGGTGGATGCACACAGTACGGTATCACCTACGGTCACAGCTAGCCCGGTCGTAGAACGCCTGTCTACTTCGTTGTCAGCGTAGCTGGCATCGACAAACACGCTTAGGTCTAGTCCTGACCCTCGTACGTAGGTGATGCCGAAATCCTTCGTGGAGTTCAGCTAGGACATGATCCGCACAAGCGCGTTCCATATCCTCCAGGTGGGTAAGTGGGCGATCTTCTGGAGCTTGTTCAAAGGAAGGGCGATGTCTGGCCTCGTCAGCTTCGTCCACATCAGGCATCCGATCGCCTCCTTCACAGGCTTATCCACCGCGGGCTCGTCATCTCTCTTCGGCCCTAGGTCGGCATTGGTGGCAGCAGGAGTGAAAGCGGTCGTGGTCACATCAAACCGCTTCAGCATACTCTCAATGTATGCTGTCTGGGAAAGCTTGGTGATGCCATTTTCTACATCCATGGCGATAGCACACCCGTCGTACCAGGTACACCCCCCCAGATCTTTCACCGGAAACTTCTTGTTGAGGGAAGCGAACAACTCCTCTCGCTCTCCCTCGTCTGCCGCCACTAAGATGCCATCAACGTAGATCACGATGAGACCTACGACCTCCCCATCCACCACCTTCCGGAAGACACACGGGTCAACCCTGCACTGCCCGTATCCATTCCCGATGAGGGCATCGGCAGCTTCAAACCCCCACTCATGGCCACTCTGGTTTCGGCCATACAGGGCACGCTCAACCTTGACCACCTTGCCGAACATGCTACCACAGCCTTCCGGGAACCTGAGGTATATTTCTTCTTTTAGTTTAGCGTGGATGTACGCTTGCTTCACATCCCAGTGAGCGAGTTTCTTGCTCTTTTCAGTGGCTACGGCAATCACCGTCTTGATAGACGCTGCAGACGGGCACGCTGAGGATGAATGGTGGAAGTCGATGCCGGGGATTTGAAGGAAACCCCGCGCAACCATACGGGCCTTGAAGTCGACTATCAGGCCTTTCTCATTCGTCTTCCAAGCGAACACCAACTTTGAACCTATGGCCTTCCGCCCCTCGGGCAGCTTCTTGACTTTGGTAAAGGTTCCAGTCTTCTTGTGGCTATCTATCTCTTTCTTCATGGCCGCCTCCCAGAAAACCTTGTACTTGGAACACATCACATCCTTGTACGCCATCGGTACTACTTCCACATCACTCGGCTTCTGCCCGACTGGCGAGGTCGTACTTAGCTGTGGGTCTGGGAGTGGTTGCGCAGACCCGCTGGCGTCGACATCGGCCCCGAATGCCTGCCGTTCCGGGCCCAACACCTCCTGCATCTCGCGCCTGTACATCTCCATACGGCGTGTCTGCTCCTCGTCCCACTGCTCCTCCATAAGCGAGTTGCAGATGTAGTCCTCAACAATCCCCGTCCCGCCAGTTTCCAGGATGGTCGCCAGCAATGCCTCTTCCGGGTCCGGTGTATCTCCGGGCCCCGGCATCTCCCCGGCACCTTGCATCTCCCGGGTCTGCTTCCGCGTGCGGCCACTCTCAAGCCCATGGCGCAGCGGGCCAGCGTTCGAGGAGCCCCAGAGGAGATTCTTCCCTTCTAGCCCGCGGGGGTAGCGGTCGTCGGCTGGATCATACTTCAACTCCTCGAGGTTCTCAGAGTCGCCGGGATCACCATCGCTACCGCCGTCCCCAGCTGGGTCGCCCGACTCTTCGCCGCCCGGGCCGCCGGCACCGCCGGCGTCACTGCTGCTGCTGCTCGGGCTGCTGCTGCTGCTGCTGCTGCTGCTGCTGCTGCTG